ACACAATTTTATGATTTAACCCAATGTCTGTGAAGCCCAGAATGTCAGAACTGGTAAAGCCCTTAGAGACTTTCAAGTCTAACTATTTCATTGTGCTGACAAGGGAAAAGGATCAGAGAGAGAAGTAACCAGCCAGTTCACGTCCCAGAATCCTTCCACTGAACCAGGTACCAGCCTTTCATACTCTCCTCCTTTTAATTTGATAACCTTCTAGGTGTGATAGTAATCTTCGAGAAGCAGGTTTCAATTTGGTATCAGAAAACTCCTCCCAGAATTTCATCAAATCAGAAGAGGCTGTGTTAGAGGGAATGGCTGGGGATGTGGCTGGGAGGGGCACGGTGACACAGCTGGAGAGGCACATGACCCATGGAGCTAAAACAGGTCACCATTCAGGGCCCTGCACTTGCATGGCTCCTTAGCATCATAGGAGGGGTCCTAGTAATATACTCACATGGGAATATGTGTTTTCATATTTGCAAAAGCAAGCTGTTTTTGAATTCTTTTTCTTAAGGAGGGCTCCCAGAATTGTAGACGTTTCAGGCCTGGACCCTGTCCTGTGTGGCGCAGATTTGAAAAGCACTAGGCAAGGAAACCAGAGTTCCTAGGTTCTAGTTATGGCCCTGCTCTGGCCCAAATGGCCAGAATGGTACTTACTTTGCTTCCCTCACAGGGAGTAAAATCACAAACGTTAAAATGTCTTGGAACACATAAAATGTGAACAAATATAAATAAGTCACCTTACTCAGATTCTTATCTGTGATATGACAATCACTGCTGCTTTTCATGGTCGTTGAAGAGAACACATCAAAAAATGTGTCCTCAGGAGCGCCTGGGTGTGGCTCAGTTGGGTAAACATTTGCCTTCGGCTCAGGTCATGATCCCAGAATCCTGGGATCCAGCCCGTGTCAGGCTCCCTGCTCAGTGGAGAGTCTGATTCTTCCTCTCTCTGCCCCTCCCCCTGCTTGTGCTCATGCGTACTCTCTCTCTCTCTCTCTCTCTCTTTCTTTCAAATAAATAAATAAAATCTTTAAAAGACATGTGTTCTCAGGGCATCTTCCTGTTTCATCTCCCTCTGCTACAACTTCCTTTTCTCTTTCCTCCAGCCTCTAGCCCCCAGTACTCCAGCCACTGGGCCAGTCATTGGTTATTATCTTTTGCTACTTCTATAGATTTGTTCATGGGGCTCCCACTGTCTAGAAAGTCTACCTTTACTGGAAAAAAAAATCTTCATCCACAAGGCCCTGGTCTTCCAGCCCTTCTCCTCCCACCTTGATGATGACCTCCCTTAGGACTGTTTCTTGTTGCTCCTACAGATGGGGACACTGAGGCCTGGTGTGGTCCATAACTGAGTTCTGGTATCTTGATATGCTGCCATTCTCGGCCCCCTAGGGTCAGATCATAGACACACGGTTCTTGATGTACACGTGATAGGGGTCACTGAGCTTGTCCACTTTGCGGGAGCGGGTATATCCCAGGATGAGGCTGCCCACGGTGACAGCAAATAGAAACATGACGAAGAGAATGTACATGTAGGAGTTGTCATCACGGCCAGGTAGGCTGGCCCGCCGCTCCTTAGGCAGGTTGTCAGGCCCTGCCCGGCAGAGCAAGTTGCTGTGAAGAGTGACATTTAGAGCCTTCAGCACTGCGTGCAGGCTCTCATACCAGGTCTCAGTCCTGTTGGTGGTCTCCATAGCAACAGGGATCCAAGGGGGCAAGGAACTGGAGGACACTCTGTTGGTGACAGAACAGAGAGAGGGGATAGCTTCTGTCACCTGCGGCTTGAATTCCCTCCTGACCCCTTCAGACCCCAACTAAAATCCCAACATCACAGTTTATTCTAGCTACCTGTTTACTTGTCTGTCTTCTCCATTAGACTGTAAGGTCAATGCAGGCAGGGACCGTGTCTGTTTTACTGACTGCTATATACAAGCACCTAAGACAATAGTCAATAGCCGCTCGGTATATACTTGTGGAACAAAGCCTTCCTTGACCACTGTAACCCATATTAATCTTTTTTTGGATTCTATAAATCACTGAGATTTAGACTACTAGGACGTTCGGGCTTATTTACTCTAATTCCTTCCATTTTATGCACAGGGAAACTGAGACCCAGAGAGAATTAAGTGGCCTGTCCATGATCAGAGAATACTGGAAGGAGAGCCAAGACAGAGGTCCCTCTCTGTGATGGCCAGCTTAGAGCTCCTTTGGCTCCCAGGCCAGCTCCCGGCAGGGCTGTGTGGCACCATCAGAAGACATTCCCCAGAACCCTCCTTCAACACAGTTCTTTTTTATATTCCACAGGCAGCGTTTACAAGATGTTTGGGGATGGCATAGATTTCACTCTACCTGGAGGCCAGAGGCTGGGTCATTTGATCTCTCAAGCATCCTATGTGCCAAACACTCTTAAGTATTCCTAGCTATTGGGGGGAAATTCTGTTGGAAATGAAGTGGTGGGGGAAGCAGGGAGAGGCTGATAATCACAGCAGACACTAGGGAAGAGAAGAACAGGGTTGGGCAGGAGGCTGGGGGAGGGAAAGGATCACTCAGTCTGGTTTGGGGTTTTAACTACCCCAGAGAGAGAAGGCACAGGCATCTCAACTACCCTGCCTTGTGACAGCAAGTCACTGTGTACCTGGTGTATAATAAATGTTCCTTCTCCTTCCTCTCAGAGATTCTTAGTCTATAATATAGATCCTTCTTTTTTTTTTTAAAGTTTTTATTTATTTGACAGAGAGAGACAGAGCGAGAGAGGGAACACAAGCAGGGGGAGTGGGAGAGGGAGAAGCAGGCTTCCCGCGGAGCAGGGAGCCCGATGCGGGGCTCGATCCCAGGACCCTGGGATCATGACCTGAGCTGAAGGCAGACGCTTAACGACTGAGCCACCCAGGCGCCTCTAGACTTCTATAATATAAGAAAATATCCAAAGACAGCCTTGTATCCTAGTCTCTGAAAAACCATGTCATTCCTTTTAAACAAGGCTCCACACTCACCTCTTTTGGGAAGACTTCATTGAGTGCTCCCTACCTCCCCCCCTTTTTAAAAAGATTTTATTTATTTATTTGAGAGAGAGAGAGAGAGAGAGAGAGAGAGAGAAAACATGAGAGGGGGCAAGAAACAGAGGGAGAAGCAGGGAGCCCACCGCGGGGTTTGATTCCAGGACTGTGAGATCATGAATGCTTAACCAACTGAGCCACCCAGGTGCCCCGAGTGCTCCCTACCCCTTAACCATACTCCACAAGGTTTATCAGCACGGCCTTCCCTTTTGGCCAGCACTTACATATAAGGCAATGTGTGGCTATTCTCTTGTGATTGATAAGGGTATCAGCAGTCCACATGTTCCTGGTCAGCAGGGCTGTGTCTCTCCCTTAAGTCTAGGGGACTACCCTGAGACTGGCTGGGTATTGTGCTTCCTCAGGGTCTACCTTGTGACTGGCTGGGTGTTCTTCCCTCAGTGGTCTCCAGTAAAGATGGCTACTTTAGGGACTTCTCCATAGGCCAAACACTCAGAGTTCACAGACTGGTTCCAAAGCCCTCCTTTATCTAGGTAGAGTTGTCAACCAACTGAAGTTAACAAACTTGACTATATCCAATGGCCTCTGCCCCAGAAAAGATGACAGTTATGACCATGATCAATATTTATGAACAACTCTATGAATGCAGAAGTTGGGGGGCCGGAAGAATCTAAAAAATAGAGTAGTCACCCAGGACTGGCCTACATTTCATGCAAGGCCTTTGGGGCTCCCTGCTATGTGGTGCTTGAACTACCTTGTCTGGATGGAGGAAGGGAAGAGAACACGGGCTCATGGACTTAAGATCCAGGAGGCAGAGGTTTTCATCTGCTACCCCACTTGTCAGGTAAGAAATTTCTGCCTTCTGTTTCCCTCATATCGGCCAATGGAAACTAGCAGCAGCACAATGAATTAATGGCCCAACTAATCATTCAGCCAGTCATCATTTATGGAGGCCCACTCTTGGGCAGGCCTCATGCTGGGAGCTTGGGGAGGCTCAGACCCAGTCAGTCCCTGCACTTAGGGACACATTGTCAGCTGATCTATAAGGCAGGGGACAAGCCAGGGACTACTGGGGCTTAGAGTAAGAAGAGACAAATTCTGATCAGGGCTCAGAGAGTTTCACAGTAATAGAGGCATCTGAGTTGGACCTTGAAGGGTTTTTTGGAAGTAGAGAAGGTAAGAAAAGCAAAGAGGTGAACAAGCATGACAAAAAGAATGTTTAGAAGAATAGAAAGTAGCATAAAGGGGTTGGAGTGTAAGATGTGTGGAAGGGTAAGATAGGACATGGGATAGAGAGGCTGCCCGGAACCAGTCTCATGGACAGCCTTGAGGGCCAGGCTGCAGAGGTGGAACTTTATTTTGCAGTTGGGGAAAAGCCATGGAAAAGTATTTTAAAAGGGGTTACAATGATAAGAGATTTGTGCTTTGAAAGGACACTTTGGCTGTTGTGTGGACTGGAGAGGGAAAGAATTAAGACAGGGAGCCTAGTGACAAGGGTCTTGAAATAGTTCAGGTAGAAGACACAGAGTCTGGGCAGTTTCCTCATCTGTCAAAACGATTATCATCGGGAGTTATTCAATGGGTACAGAGTTTTAGTTTTGCAAGGTGAAAAAGTTCTAGAGATCTGTTGCACAACAGTGTGAATACAGTTAATACTACTGAGCTGTACACTTAAAAATGTCAATAGGGTAAATTTTATGTATTTTTTTTTTTACCACAATTAAAAACATCATCCCTGCCCTGCCTCCCTCCAGGCTTGCTTAAGCATACAGTTTTATTATGGTGAAAAAAATGTTTAAAATCTATTCTCCATTTTTGAGAAGTAAATACATAGACACAGTACATACAGTGATGATGAAGTCTTCCTGTTCTCAGGGGTCCAGGACTCTCTCCCAGAGCAGTCACTGTTACCAGTTTTCTTAGATATCCTTACAAGGTAGTTTTAACTGACAGGGCAGAGAAAGGGCAACCTCAATCTGGAAGACTCACCAAAGAACAGGCAAATCCTCCGTGGCTCTGAGTCAGCTTCAGGAATCTCCCTGTGGGTGCCCTCGGGCTCCTCAGCCCCTCAGCCTCTTCAGGGTGCCTCTGGACACATCTGGGGTCTCAGTATTGACACTGGGGAGCTGGGAAGGCCCAGAGCTGGAAAGCAGGGGACGAGGCAGGAAAGGAAAGAATCAGACACCCAGAAAACTCTTCAGAACCAGGGTGGATCCCCCAAGGCTGGGGCCCCAAGGGTTGTGCAATAGCCTTGCTGTGGGTGCTAACTCCCTTCCTCTTCCCCTCCCTTTCCTGCAGCAGCTGGGTCAGGCCAGTCTAGGGCTGCAGTTACAGGAACTGTGCCGTGGCCAAGGGACATCTGATTGCTGTCCCTCAACTCCAGGCCCGCAACGTCTCTATCGGGTGACTTTATGAGAAGCCTCGATTTAACGTGTGGACTTCTGCTCAGGGACCAGCTAACAGTGCAGACTCAAAATATTCCCTTTCCCAAGGGTACCGGTATCTTAGCAGAAGCCTCTAAAAGGCTGAAAAAGCCTGAGACCCAAGGGAATGATGCGTGTGGGCAGAATGGAGACTGGCAGTGGGGCCGATATTTTACATAGGAACAAACGATGTTCTTCCCAATGAACCTTTTTGTATCGACTGGGTAGAACACGGTCACAGCGTCAGCACTATCTGTAGCACAGCTCCTTGTGCCAGACAAGAAAATGGCACAGATGCGGTGGCAGTTTTATTTTTCCAGCGCAGGGGCTGGCTGGACCTTCAGAGTCCATCTGGTCTAACCTCTAGTTAACCGCCTTCAGCTTACAGTGAAGGAAATGGAAACCCGAGGAGCTGTCTTGGTTCAGCTGCTACTTGTATGACTTAGGGCATGTGACTTCCCTTTTCTGGGCCTCGGCTTCTGTCCACATCTGTAAAATGAAGGGGTTCTATCTACATAATCTGTAAGGTCAGCTCTAATATCCCACGAGGGTACAGATCACAAACCCACATTGTGAGATTACAGCAAGTTGGGTAGGTTGGTGGAAGAGGCATTTGGGGGTCTTTCTAGAGCCCCTAAATCACAAGATAGAGAAGGCTGCAGACCTTGTTCTCACAGATTAAGACGTAACTTAATTACATCTGAGGAGCCCCAGGACTGAGGTACACTGAACATTCCTGCGTAGATAAACGGAGAGCCAAATCGGTTGACTTGTTCGTTTTTCCTCTTAACAGCCCATCTGCCCAGGTGATCTAGCCAGGAAAGGAGGCAGACTCTGTGCTGAAAGTGGGGGTGGAGGGATAGTGTGGGGGACAAGGTGGGTCTGAGGTGGGGTTCAGTGAGTGGAGTAAAGATTCATGAAACCATTCATCCCTCACATCCTCCTTCAGGAACCTCTCAGGATAGACTCTGATGTTTGTGGTTCTGACAGGAGAGGCAAAGAAGCAACTGTTACATATCTTTAGGTGCTGGGTTGGGGTAGGAAGGAGGGCCTGGGTGCAAGGTCATCCTGCTGGGTCAGGAGAGACAGAGAGCTGATAAAGGGACAGGTTGATTCTCTTCCCACTGCTTCTAGATCCAAGGATTGGCCGTTGGCATCACTGAGAATTTTGTTCCTCCTTCTGAGCTCCTTGGCTGCACTCATCAAGATAAGTCACTGATTATAAAGTTCATAGTGGAGGGGAGATGGAGCTCTGCTCTGGAGAGTTCTTAACTTGAAACAGAAGATAGGCCAGTTAAGAAGGAAGGTGAATAGTGACTGACCACGCGGAAAGAGATTTTAAAGATTATTTAGAATCTAGATTCTAGGCCAACTCCTGCATTTTGTAGATGGGGAAACTGAAGCTCCAAGAGGGAAGGTGACTTGCCCAAAATGGCAGGACAAGTGAAGGGCAGAACTCCAATGAGAACCGGGGTCTTTAGGGGCATGTGCCGTTCGGGTGCTCTTTCCACTACCAATAGCAACATTCCCTGGCATCTGAGTTGTGCATCACACCAAACACAGTCTCCTCGTGTTCTGGGGTGTCAGGTCCTCTAACTCTGCAGATTCTCACCAATCAAGAATCTGGTAAGGGGGGGGAAGTTGGCATGTTTTGGAGGAGGAGTTAACCTTCCTTTATAATCTCATCTCCTGTGGTCCTTTCTGCTCCAGACGTACTCCTGTTCCCCCAAACAAGCCAGGAGCACTCTCAGAGTGTAGACACTCTGTTGCTATTTCCTGCACATTAACAGGTTCTTCCTGAATGTTCCTTTTTTTTTTTTAAGTAAATTCTATGCCCAACGTGGGGCTTGAACTCATCACCCTGAGATCAAGAGTCGAATGCTTTACCAACTGAGCCAGCCAGGTGCCCCATCCCTAAATGTTCTTGACTTGAACTCACAGGTGTCTAAGTTGGGGGTGGAGGTGTAAAGCTATGATCTGAAGAATGAACTGGGCATCTTAGGTTTTCTTTCAGGTTTCTCTGGGGAAAAGAGAAACTCCACCATTGGTTCTTTTGGGTTCCCCACTGCTCTGTTTCAGCTACTCTTTCAGAATGAATGTTTTAAGTGCCTGGGAATGTAGTAAAGAGAGGCAAGGCGGGGAAAAGTCACACAAAGAAGATAGGGAGGGGATCCAAAGACAACCCCTGGGACCACACAGTTTTGCCACTGGTCCCTCAGGTGGTCTTATCACTACCATTGACTGGGGAGCCAGTGGAGTGGGAGAAGAGTTAAAGGACTGGACCTTAACAAAGAGTTGGGAGGAGACACCGGAATAAAATCTGAGCTGGAAGGGATCTTAATAATCATGTTGTTGGTACAAACCCCATTCAACCAGAGGAAAGTAGAGCACCCACTCCCTGAGAAAGCACCTGCACAAGGTCTCAGTCCAGGGGTAGAGCTGGGACCACAAATAGGTATCCTGTCCACAGACCGTTCTACTTTTAGTTCCCTGTTGCCTGTAGGACAATCTAACCTCCTCAGATCATCATTTAAGCCTCTTTGGATGTGACCCTGCCTCTAGCCCCATCTCACCACAGCTCTCCCAAGTACGCTGTGCCACATGATACTGCACTGCAGGCCATTCTCCAAACATTCCTTGCACTTGCACACTTCATGCCTTTGTTTATGCTATTTTCTTAGGCAGAGGAGTTCCCTTCCTCTTTTTATCTTCCTGGTGAACTCCTATTCATCCTTCAAGACCCAGCTCCAATGTCACCTCTGTAGACCCTCTCCTGAGACACCCCCCCTCTTCCCCACTCCCTAGACAATTAGTCTCTCCCTCTTGTCTGTTCCTAAAAGTGCTTTGCATAAAACCCTATTTGAGGACTGTGCTGTACTGAAAGTGTATATGTGTGTGTAGGTATCGATACCTATAAACATGTATGCTAAACTATGTGCTGTGAGGTGTGAGGGCAAGGACCTATACCTCATACATTTCTTTATTCCCTGGGCCGGAGCACATAGTAGGCACTCAAGAATATATGAATCAATGCCTCTTCTTATTAGACCATCGCCCATCCAGCACACACATACACATTCATGAAAACAGTTTACAGTGAGTACTTAAAAAGCAACTTCAAGTGCAGAAACATATACCATTTGGATTGGGAAAGGGGGGTGCTCAAAGAAAAGAAGCCATCTTGGTCAGGTGGAGAAGTGACTCAGGGGCAGAGGAATTCTAAGCCTTCTTTGGAAGCCCAGACATTCCCTGTACCTGAACCCCATTCAATTCAAAGGGCAAACATTCTTGGCCCCAAAACACTAGCAGGGGTTTTGCCACCCTCTTCCCTGTGTACCTACCCAGGGTGTGGCGACACACACCCACCCATTGCACACACACAGTCCAATTTCCAGTCACCCAGCCTGTGATCTTGCCTTTCACGTGTGCCTTTGATGGTTCCAGTCTTGGCTATGTGACCTTGAGCACTGCATTTATTTCCTCTGAAACTCATATATGAGATGGGGATAATTATCCCTGCCCTGTTTACCTTACATGGGGACTGGGGGAGACAACAGAGGGGAAGGTGTTTTAGAAATTGCCAAATATTATAGCAGCATAAGAGAGAATTATTGGGCAATCCGATTTCCTTTTCTATTTCCCTACCCCACCACCAGATTACCAGGAACAGCCATCCCTATGTTGCCCCTCCCTCCTCCCTTTGGTTCTCTTTCCTTGGGAGAAAGAAAGAGAGGTTCTTATGACTTTCTTCATTCTTAGACACGTTTTCCTCCTTCAAAAGCTTTCTTTGGGGCATAGTGGCACAGTAGGTTAAGCATCTGACTCTTGGTTTCAGCTCAAGTCCTGATCTCAGCGTCGTGAGATGAGCCCCCCCACCCATGCTCCTCACACAGAACAGTCTGCTTGAGATTCTTTCTCCCTCTCCCTTTGCCCCTCCTGCTCATGCTCTCTCTCTCTCTCTCTCTAAAATAAATAAACCTTAAAAAAAAGAAAGCCGGGCGCCTGGGTGGCTCAGATGGTTGAGCGTCTGCCTTCGGCTCAGGTCATGATCCCAGGGTCCTGGGATCGAGTCCCGCATCGGGCTCCCTGCTCCTTGGGAGCCTGCTTCTCCCTCTGCCTCTCTCTCTCTCTCTGTCTCTCATGAATAGATAAATAAAATCTTTAAGAAAAAAAAAAAAAAAGAAAGCCTTCCTTGTTTCTCATACTTTGATCAGCCCTATAGTCCCTTTCCATTTAGGGGTACCATTCAGTAGTCCTGTAGTTGATGGAGAACACACCAGAATTGGAATCAAGAGACATGCCCCTATTAGGCCATGTCTAGCCATGTGTCTTGGTTAAGTCACGTCTCCACTCTGGGCCTCATGTTCCCCATCAGTAAGTTGGGGGCTTTGTCTTATCTCCCTCTTGGTAGGTATTTGGAGCATCCACCCATTTAGTTTATGGATAGAAATATGTTTTGAGATGTGTGGAGTGAGTGAGGGATGAAGGTTGTGGGTTATCTTAAGGAGTCAAGAAAATCTGAAAGCAGTTTCCATGCCTCAAGCAAGGGGCTCCTCCATTTGGAAACCAGCAAAGTGGATGGATACCAGGAGACAATGAGGGGCTTACACATTTACGATGCACCTTTGTAGATGAAGTGGAGAGAAC